CAATATGGTTCATGGGGTCACGAAGAGTCGGACACGACTTAATGACTAAACAACAACAAAGGAAACAACCCATGCTGGAGACCTGAGGTTGTATCCCATACCACCAGCAGCAAATAACTTAAAGAGGAGAAGGTCACAAACACACCAATGAGTGTGCACAATGACTATTGAATGTTGTGTGGGCATGCACTGTTGGAGAATGGGAGAAAAGAACTGGGGAGGAAAAGTTGAGAGAAGGAAGAAAATGGAGTATGCAGGATACCTATCTATTATTATTCATTCATTAGAAAGCCAGTTTGGTGTAGTGGTTAAGGCATCAGGCTAGAAACCAGGAGGCTGTGAGTTCTAGTCCTGCCTTAGGCATGAAGCCAGCTGGGTGACCTTGGGCCGGTCCCTCTCTCTCAGCCCTAGGAAGGAGGCCAGGGCAAACCACTTCTGAAAAACCTTGCCAAGAAAACTGCAGGGACTTGTCCAGGCAGTCACCAGGAATAAAAAACTGACTCAAAGACACCCACCCCAAACAATCATTTATATGCCACTCTTCCTTCAATACAAGCCCAAAGGAAATAAAATACAAAATGATTTCTAATAAAACAGTTGCTTGTTAGTAAATCAAAGCCCAATCAATCAAACAAGCAACAATAAAACAAACTGATAGAGATCACAAAGCCAATAAAAACATAAGTTAAAGCTGTGCAAATTTTTTTTTTTAAAAAATGCAATTCCTTTGAAAGGCAGACCGATCCTGGAATGGTTATTAGCCTGCAAATGCTTCAGTGAAGAAGCACGTCTTCAGCCGTCATTTCAGACTGGGCCAGCTGCAGGTTGATCCGGTAGAAAAATCCTAGAATCGGCACCCCCTTCAAGAAGGCCCAGACCCTAATCTCTGCTTTGTGAACCAAACTGGCTAACCAGAAGCCTGGGCAGGACTGCTCCGTATATCTTATGCAGCCTCTACTCCTCCCAAGATCAAACGTTCTGGTCAAATATAAAAATGCATACATACATACATACACCTGCATTTGAAACGCTCCCCTATTGAGGAGTGTTATTTTTTTCCAGCATTATAACAAAATAATTAACTGCAAATCTAATTTTAGTTCCCAGAAAGGCAGAGTCCAAGAATTAACACCCTACCCACACGCAAACACGTGACTCCCTTACATTATTGCGGATCAAACTGGAGCTGCTAAACATCTGGAGAGCTCCAGGTTGGGAAAGGCTGTAATGCAATCTGTTTTCAGTTGCTTGTTTTCTTCATTTGGAAGCTTTCATACGGCAACCCTTAAGACAATCTGTGCACGAAGAAAAGCGTTCATCTCCCTATTCCCTTCCCTGGAGAAGGGGGAGGTTAGCATATTACGTAAATAAGCGTTTACTGTATTGAACCTTGAATGATCCAGGCAGCTGATGCAGAAACCCTCTGCAGGTATGATTATTCAATGTAATAGCAGGAGAGAAGAGAGTCTGGGAGGTTGGGGGTGGGGGGAGGCAGATCAGAGACAGCATTACAGAATTACTCTCGCAAATGGCAAGTGCGCTTTCTCTGCAGAGAACAGATGTGGCTTAGCATTAGGAAGCGGGTGATATTCTTTGCATTATATATCTATTTCAGAGGGCAGGAACATGTTAGCTCTTAATATCACAGACCTTGGAAATCTAATCCAATCCCCTGCCTGGGGCAGGAATCCTGAGACCATCCCAGACAAACAGCTGTCCAACCTTTTAGTAGTTCTTGGTAGTTCTCCTTGGTTTCCAAGGAGGAAACCAGACCCCCACCAACACTGACAGGGCAAGCTACTGAGTATAAACAGGCAGCAAACCCCACACTCACTACCACTGATGATGTTACCTAGTCGGGTCATGAAATGTCTGCAAGCAAACAACTAAGCTCAGAGAGCACCAAGGACTCCACTGTCCAACCTTTGCCTGAAAACCTCCAGTGATGGAGTCCTCACAACTCCAGAAGATGGGCCATTCCAATACTTAACAGTGTCAGAGGATTCCTCCTTTTTTTGAATGTGGATCTGCTTTTAGGGAATAATAACAGAATGTTGAAAGCCTGACAGAGTTTCTATTTTCCGCCCCTGTATCAAGAAAGGGCAACCTTGCATTTCTTCCTCACCCCTTCCTGTCTTTCTGGGCTACGATGATGTTTTTGTAAGAGGTGCTATGTACATTCTTCAAGGCTATATCCTTTCTTCTCTACAGCTGTCCAACTTTTATTAAAAATCACAAGGAAAACTCTAAAATGAACCTTTCCTTTTTGCAGTCACCGTTACTAGGTGAAACAGAACCCAATTCTTACATACTTCATTATCTCGGTCCTTTTCCAGGAAGTGACGGGCCACGTGGCTTGGCAGAATATTGCGTAGCATATTTTCATTGTGTTCTCTTAGCTCCTTCATCTCGTTGATTTCTTCTTTGGCCTGGCCACGCCACAAAAAGTCTAGCCTTGCTGTGTATTCAAGCTGCAATGACAGAGAAGTCTCTTAGTTTCTTTTTAATTGAACATGTAGTCCATCCCTAAGAATAGGCACCTGAGAGAAGAGTGGGTAGATATTAAATCAATTCTAGGGGGACCCAGTAGAAAGGGAGAAGCATCAGCCTCCAAATTTGGGCTTAGAAATAGTCTGGCAGTTAATGAAACTCTGTCCAGAGATGTTCAAACTTGTGATGGAATGTATCTACGAGGAGGAGAGTGATGTGGGGGATCAAGGCTATCAGGAAGGAGGGGGTGCATTCCAGCAGGGGAAAGGAGACAAGAGACAATATAGTCCGCAGGGGGAGCATGAGAAGAGTAAGACGTTCAGGATAGCCACTCCCTGGAATCTCCCAGGGTATATCCACTTGTTGCTGTAGTATAGATTTAGTTTGGCAAGATTCTGTCTATAAGATGTAAGCAATAAAGGAACTATACTCTCCTAGACTGTTTCACCATTGTTCTTGGGCTGGGCCTAACAATACTAGACTGTTGGGTGGTGGTTTGTGGGCTATCTTCAAGGACAAACACATGTCTAGTACATTGCAGGATGGCAAACAAAATAGGATGCTTCCAGGGTATAACTGGCTAAAAATTAAGGAAAGCTTTGTCGTGGCATTTCATAGTATTTCGGTGACCTTGTCAGACTGTTCTGAAAGTCAAGTGAAATTAGCCTCCCCATGGGAAGAGAGATCCTTTCATTTTTATGCCTGTAGCAAATGTAAAGACTTAGTCTATGTTAAGCCCTGTGAGGTTGGCAAATCCAAGAAACAAGAACCACTTGGGTTTCTGGAAAGAACTTTAACAGAACCTACCCAAACCTACCAAAGTAATTATTCTGCACAACTCAGAATGCCTAATGTAATTAAGATGGAATTATGCTTTCTCATGCCTCCTTTCTCCACCACAACTCCAACTCAATAATCACTTCTGTGATAGTCCCATTTCCTCTCTTAACTGTCTTTCTGCTTCCTCTGTGTTCCCAAAATCTGTTAGACATACCATCACAATCAACAATAGATTTTGACAGGTTTGTCAACACTGTCAATACTAACTATGGATTTTCACCCTGTAAATAGCCCAAGAGAGAAAAGCCAACTATAAATCTAATGGGAATATTTATGTAGATGCCTCTAGCAAAAGCCTCTTCAAAAAGAGTACAACAAACAGACTAAAATTGGATATTTGAGAGAACTTTCCAGTAGGGTAGCATGCCCAGCCAAGCAACCTCTAGATGGGTTGAATCTCAACACTAAACAATATGGCCTTTGGCCATTCTAACAGCACTGTCCGCCCATATATGTTGGTTGATGATGGTGTGACTTGAAGTCCAACATATCTGGGGGATATCAAGCTGGAAAATGGTGGATTAGATTTAGGAATGTCCTTACACTTGAGAACAGTCATTCATTTAGTTTTTATTCCAGCCTTCCATCACTGAACTCAGAAAGACATACTTATTCCCCTGTTTAATAGTGAAACAACATGTTAATGTTAATTATGCAGTGAGAATAACTTCCTGTTTATTATTTACTTAACAATAAACATTTGGGATCTTGGAGAACAGGAAAGGATGTGTTAATTCTTTCCTCCAAAAATTAGCCATTCCCATATGGATTTTTTTCTTCTTTCTAAAATAAAAGTCCTCCATTGGAATCAATGGAGACAATGTTTGTATTCTTTTAAAATGTTACCTGGGGGTGAGCTGGAGAGGAAAAGATTAAAACCCCTCTCCCTGTCTGAAAAGCTCCTGATCTGGATCAGCACTGCTGCATGTCTACTTTGAAGTAAATAAAAAATAGAGAAGGGGTTGCACAATATGTAATTAACGTGATGTGTAGTTTGTCCTTAAGAATAGCCATCTAAGTCAAAGTTTAAAAATAAATTAAATCAATTCCAGTGTAAAGAATTATAAATGTCATTGCACCAGCAATGTGTCCTTTGAATTTCTGGATGTGTAATTTGACAAAATCCCCGTGGGCATCATTACACTGTTGCTGCATTCCATGTTAAACTAACCTTTTGTACTGGAGTCTCATCTTAGGTGTCGGCTGGACAAAATTAGCTGAAGATAAACAAGGGTTATTGGGGGAAGCGGGTAGATGCTCAGAGCGTATACCACCAAACGTGAAGACACTTCATCCTAAAGTTATCTGGAGTTTCTGGGTATATTATTAAGTTCCATCGACATATTGTCAGGACTATTTGGGGTTGTCTTTTCCTCTTTTATGTTGGATACCATCCCTTTTCATATGTTATATTTCTGATCCCTAAGCAGAGTTAAATTACAGCTACAGCTTAATGAATGTATCTCACTATACAGCTGCAAAAATAAAGGTCTAATGCAGCACTTTTCAACCTTGGGAATTTTAAGATGGGTAGACTTCAACTCCTAGAATTCCCCAGCCGGCCATGCTGGCTGGGGAATTCTGGGAGTTGAAGTCTACCCATCTTAAAGTTCCCAAGGTTGAGAAACACTGGTCTAGTGGTTAAGGTGTTGGACAAGGAGTGGAGAAATCCGAGTTGTCATCCTGTCTTAGGCATGAAGCCAGGTAGGTGACTTCGGGCCAGTTACTCTCTCTCAGCCCTAGGAAAAAAGCAAGAGCAAACGACTTACAAAAACACTGCCAAGAAAACTTCATGTGGTCCATGTAGTCACCACGAGTCAAGATTGATTTGAAGGCACACACAGATGTACAAAAAGTTTATACTGTTGACCTAAGATATGTTTGCAGATAGGTTAATAGGATTGAATAGCACCTCATTCTTTGTCCAGACTTTGGATTTTTAGTAACCAGGCTTTTTATCCAAGTATGCTATTTTCTAGTAAATGGAAGGAATTTTTTTTTCTTTAAAGAGCAATGGAAATTTTAGCAGACGCTATTTCAGATCATAATCTGCTCTTTAAACAAAGTTTAAACAAAACAAACTCTCTTTCAAGCTGAGCTTGACTTCTGGTGTCTTTCATAGGCCTGTCCATGTTATTTGTTTTTGGCAACATGGAAGTTGCCCTTTTCTGTTTTTTTTTCTTTTTTTACTTCATCTAGTCTACAAGCCTGGGTCCATCCAAGTGCTGACCACATCAAAAGCTTCTTAGGTTTTTGAGATCCATTAAGGTCTGCTAGATGCTGCCAGCCAGCTGCACTAAACAAGCTTCCTTCTTATCTTTTGGCATGGAAACAACGTTGTACGTTTATGAGTTCCTTCTTCTTTTACTGTAACTTCATTATGCCCCTGAACACCCAACAAAATGATTTTAGGAGCATATCATATTTAAATTCAGAAGTCATTGGTTCTATTTCTCAATGACTGTTCAAAGAGTATCTGATTTACCATAATGCTCAAGATGTCTAATGGACTCTTTATTAGAATTTTTTAAAAAATATAAATTGGGGACATTGCAGAACATATCATCCAGACCTATCGACTATGGGAGGGGAGACATATCTAGGAAAAAAAGTCCCAGTCTAGGGATTTTCTGATGACAAATTAAGTTAAAAGCCTACAAGTTTCTCATTAAGGATGAACTTGAAACCAAAGCAGAAATAAAAATACTGGACTGTATAAAGTACCACAGGAAGACTGCAGCTTGAGTGGGAAGTCTGACAGTTGTTTGCTATTAACCACTATTGTGAATTACGGGTATGGCTTTTCTTCCCCAAAGGACTTGCTTGTTCCATTTAAGAATGCTTTGAAAGCATACAATAAAGTTCAGTAGTTAAAAGTTCAGATAATCTCAAAGAAATCTCAGGATGGATTACACTCTAAGAGACTCTTGCCCTCTGGCTGTTTCTCCAGTGAGAAACTCATTTCGTCCAGGTCTTTTTCCACAAGAGGGGGAAAAGATACAGGTAAACATCTCCTTTGTACAATGACTCCCTCAAGTCAAGCAGCAACATAGATTTGTCCTCTGATTTTTCTGGACAGTGTTATGGAAATCATTTGTCCTTGCTCTCTCTCTCTCTCTCTCTCCTGGGAAATTTTCTCCCTTCCTGGTCTAGCCCACAGCCTGAGGATTTCATGATGGTTTCCCATCCAATGCCAGGTCAGATCCTTTTTGAGGTCAACCAAGGTTGGCTTGATGTTGGGCTTGTAAATGTGGGCATCAGCAGATTGTACTGGACATCTATATGTCCCATTTCTAAATAGGGTGGGTAAATCTAACCCCTTCTATATTCATGACCTAACATTTTCTAAGTCAAAAAGCCCCAAGCATTGCCACATTTGCTCAAAAAAGAGTTGCTCCAAACAATTCATTCTTGAAACTCTGCATCTTCTCTAGCTTTCCAAGAGTTTTGAAGCAAATCTATGGTGTACAGATCATCTCATGCAGGGATATCTGTGGGGGAGTCCATGCAACGCAAATTAAAAAGGGGGCAGAGCTTTAATTGCATGATTGTGGCTGCCATCTTGACTTTTTTGACCTACTCCCTGTAGACACCCCAATCCCATATGGGATAAGGTGTTACTTTCCTGACAGTTTTATTTTTTTATTCTTTTCCTACAAATCCCCATCATGACATTTTCACAGCAGCTATGTACCTTGGTTTGGATTTTGGTTGTGCTAGAATGGGCTGGAAGGAGAGACAAGATTTTCTGCAACAGCTTTCTATCTATAATATTTTCACCGCAATAAAAAAAAAAGGCTGCACGGACCTGGCCGTGTGCTCACTTTAATTGGCCTTTCTCTAAGGTTAATTAGGCCTCCCATTATTGAAGGCCACATAATACTCTCGTTTGATATTTAATTATTTGCTCCAAATGGGAGCTGTGACTGGCAGGCTCTAGGGGAGCAACTGTGGATATTTTCTGCTTTGAGGGGAGAAGGTGCGATAAATGGGAAATAAACATCTGCCTTACCTGTTGGCCGTGATAAAACACAGCTAACAGGAACATGGCCATGAGGAGCAACGAGGCTTCTTTAGTCCCCAGGAAATCTGTGCTATAAAGAGGAAAGGAAGAGGAGGAGGAGGCGATGAAAAGAAGGAGGAGAAAAGAACGTCAGAGGTTAAAATAAAACATGATTTCCCCCCCCATTGTTTTGTTTCTCTATTCATCAATGTCAATGCTCGGGGTCACCACGCAAAGAGCCAAAGAATGCTTGGGATGAGAGAGCACCAAGAAACGCTAATGCTCAAGGCCAGATTGGAAGGTGAAAAACAAGCCGCTGCTATGCCATTCCCAAGAAAGTTGCATCTTGTGTCCAGAAAACTACCAGGCTCTTGGCTTTACTTGAGGTGTGCTTCAGTCAGTGGCTCTCTGGGCACGACGTGCATAACAGGGTCACGGGAAGGATCGCAATGTGTGCAAACCCCATAATCCAGTCCCCGCTGGGGCTAGTTTTATCCTCAAATAGGCCTGATATGGGTTAGTGCTTAATTAAACAACTTGGATGCAGCTACATCACCCAGACAGGTCCTTTCCTTTACTGTCAACTCAGAGATAATCTCCTAGAGCAGTGTTTTTCAAACTTGGTAACTTTTAGATGTGTGGACTTCAACTCCCAGAATTCCCCAGCAAGTTTGAAAAACACTGTCCTAGAGTGTCTCCTCCAAAATGAGGCCTTTGTCTCTCACTTTTAATGTTATAGTATTTTTCACACTCCTGTGCCCAAAACAAGGGGGAGGGAAATAGGAGATAAACCTTCTCCAATTCAGTTCATGGTGGCACCAACCTCATTGGGCCCCCATGCTTTTTAAAGTAATTTAAATAATAATGATATTATTATTTAACAACCACAAGTTTTTTTATAATTCTAGTCACTTTGCAGCAGCTAGGAGACCATCTGTCAGAGTTGAACCTGCTAAGTTGAGAGCTCCCGATTCTCATGCCAGAGAAAGCTCTTTTCTAAACCAGGGATAAATGGCAGAGACCTTCAAGGCCAGGAAAAGGGCAGCTAATGGCCTATTAACTCAAAAGCCTGGAAGGAAGGCGTCCCAGGTATGAACCTCGAGACTGACCTATGTAGGACTGACCAGTCTCCTGTGTCCTGTTGAATGCAGAACTTGGTTAACATGGCTTCTTCTCAGTTACTTCTCTGACCTTCTTTTGTCTGCTCAGGAACATGGAAATTGTTTTGTAGCTGTGCCTTGTATAAAGCCTTGCTCCCATCCCAGTTCTGGTTGACTGAGATGTTTAACTGTGGTGCAGGGAAATGAATATTTTCCCCAAATTACTGGCTGATTGGATCAACCGTGTCTTCTGAATCCAGCCAGTCTCAAGCAAATGAGCGCAGGATTTTTATTATGGTTCGCGTTTCAGAAATTACATCACAGCTTTTCCATTTTTTCCTTCTTCTGTTCAAGTCTTTACAGCAGTGTTTCTCAACCTGGGTAACTTTAAGATGTGTGGACTTCAACTCCCAGAATTCCCCAGACAGCATGGGAAGTTGAAGTCCACACATCTTAAAGTTACCCAGGTTGAGAAACACTGCTTTAGAGTGTAAAACCTCTTTTGCATCTGGCTTAGATTCTACGTGTGGATTCATTTTAAAAGTTGTTTTTGCAGTAAACTAGCGGTGTCCATTATGAAGCAATCAACAGACAATATTTGCTAACCTCATAGAGATTAGTAAAATCTCTGAGATAAAGGGGTGAATATGAATTCTGTCTTGCCAATATGATTGGCAAACGTAACCCCTTCTGAATCTAGCTTCACTTGTTCTAGGGTGCGCCCCTGTTCCTAATGCCAGCCAGCTTTCCTTCCCAACATTTCTGCTCTCCCAAATGTCTCTGGGCCTAGGGAAAGGGGCCCTCAGGAATTAAATTTCCTCCATTCCCTAGTTCATTGACATTGTACCTAACATTGTTAGGTGATAGGCAGGAGGAAAACTGCTCCTGTCTGGTTATGTGTGAACGGAGGAAGGAAGGGGTTAAGAACAGGGTTTAGAGTATATGTGGAGAAGATAACAGAAAGTGGAGGTAATTATTCCCTATCAAACTCTGTCATTCCATGAACAAATCTCACAAAATTCCAGCATTCAACTATTTTTCACTTCAAAATATTCTACATGGGATTAAGTCAAACCCTTTTCTGCATTTGTTCTATGATAACACCCTGCCCAGGCTGTGGTTCCTGTGCACGTTTTGCACTCAATGCTAAAAACTGTCTTCATTTCCATGATCCTGCTGAGATGGCAGTCAATAGAAAGCCTCTGACAGTAAAAGATTGACACATCAAACCAGCCGTGATATTGCTTTCCTCTTTGGGGATCCATAATAAGGTTTCCCTCTTTCGTTTCTGCCAGCCCTTTTCCAGCTGATGAGATATTTCTAGCATTGCTACAGAATTATCTTGTCTAGATATGAGATGATTCAGGTAAGGCTCTCTATTTGTCGAGGCAATTTTTATTCCATTGTTTTGAAGAAATAAGAAGGAGCTGCATACTGATATATACAGTAGCAGCATCTTACCACAAGTTGCAACATTTTTTATAGATTACTTCCCCACATATAGAAACCTAGCATGTCAGACACCACCTCTCCCTGGAAGGTTACTACAGGTAGTCCTCAACTTACATCCACAAAAGGGACCAGAAAATTTGTCATTAAGCAGTGCAGTTGTTAAGTGAGGCATCAAGTGACCACACCCAATTTTATGACCTTTTTTGAGATGGTCATTAAGCAAATCACAGTTGTTAAGTGAATCATGTGGTTGTTAAGTGAATCACACAGTTGTTAAGTGAATCACACAGTTGTTAAGTGAACCACATAGACGTTAAATGAATCACATGGTTCTCCATTGATTTTGCTTGTGGGAAGACAGCTGGAAAGGTTGCAAATAGTGATCACATGACCCTGGGATGCTGCAACCATCGTAAGTACAGGTCAGTTGCCAAGTGCCTGAATTTTAATCACGTGACTGCAGGGATGCTGCGACAATCGTAAGTGCAAGGACCAGTCGTAAGTCACTTTTTTTAGCAGTGTTGTAACTTCAAAAGATTGCTAAATGAATGGTCATAAGTCAGGGACTACATGTATAATAGCTGTATGTGGAGGGAATTTTGCTGCAGGCAACTGTCATGAAAATGACTGACAGCCTGGGGGATTTGGGAAGTTGTCATTACCCCATTTTTGAAAGTTATAAGTTCACTTTGGGGAACTATTTCATATAAGGAATACGATGCAGAGCAGAGCAGCGTCTGTTCAGTGTTCTTCAAGAGTTCTGATTGAAAACAGCAAGCCCTTCAGCTGCAGTAAGGACTTACTCTCCATTATGATTGATGTCATCGTACTGGAGAAACAGGGAAGCATAAATGGTCTCAGTCAGGAAGCAGTAGACAGCAATCATGATGAGGAGCACGGCCAACTTGAGGACGGAATTGAGACGGAGGAACACAGCACAGGTCACCATAGCCAGGATGCCAGTAAAGACGAAATACTTTATAAAGAAAATTGGGAGAAAAACCAGCATTCAGCCGAGTAACCTAAATCAATATATTCAATAGAAAATTGTTCTCGTAAAAAAACCAGCAGGGTTTCAATGGCACAGTTGCAGCTGCCATCTTGACTAATGTGACCCCCTGTTGAGGACACCCTTGGAGACTACCACCATTCTAGGAAGATGGTTTCATTCACAAAATAACACAAAATATCTGCCATAGTAACATACATTGCTGTATCCTTTGATTAGTCGAAAATATTGCCTTTTCCAAAACAGTCATATCTCCTTTAACTTCTTTTTGCAAGCTAAATACACCCAGTTCCTTTAAGCGTTCCAATGCACAAATATCTACCCAAATGCTAGAATCTGAGCTTTAGCTTTGTTATCTAGAAGATCGTATGTAGAATATGACTGGAAAACCCCACAAGGATGATCACAAGGCAAAACAGGCCCCATCATACTGAACACTGGAGATGGCTAAACATCAATGGTCTTTTACCATTCCCCATGGAATTTGTAGCTAGACAAATCGGGCAGATATATTCTCTGAATTTGCCAAAGGCAAGGAGAACTTCTCTACTATTTTTCAAGAGCAGGACTATCCTTTAGCACAGTGTTGTCCAAACTTGGCCACTTTAAGATGAGTGGACTTCAACTCCCAGAATTCCCCAGCCAGCAGGGCTGGC